TCTCTCCGCGCCACCAAGCCTTGTCATCTTGCCTGGCTGACCACAAAAGCTTCTTCACTGGTCTCTCTACTTTCCCTCTCATCTCCCCACCCGCTTCTATACCCCAGTCTTGACACTACACAGCAACCAGAATAACTGCTATAAAAACATAAACTGCATCAGGCCATCACTTCCAATTTTTAATCAGCTCCTCCATGGCCCAAAGAGCCCTACCTGTTCTGGCCTTGCTCACCTCCCCAGCCTCACCTCCTCCTATTTGCCCATCCCCACAGGGACCTCTTCTAGGTCCTACAACAGGGGATCTTTTTCTCACGGGTTTTTGCAAACACAGTTCCTTCTTCCTGGATGACACGGGGAACACTTCTTTATCCCGAGAGTCACCTTGGCAGAAAAGCCAGGCAGAGATTGGCCACTCCGGGGGAGTCCCTATTATTCATTACACAGTTTTCTTTTTCTCTGTCATACTGGAACCTCCCTGAGAAGGAACAGCATCTGCTCTACTGACTATTGTACCCTTGAGTCCAGTGCAGGCCCGGCACCTGGTGAGTGCTCAGTGCAGTGTGGAATGAATGAAGGGGACCTTGTGTTTAGAGAGAGAGAGACAGAGAGAGATAGATGTTTGTATATGGGAAAGGGGTCTGGAAGTGTGATAGCGAACCCAACCCCAGGACGTGGGAATGAGGGCAAGCATCTACTCCTACTTCTTAGTTGATATACTTCTGTGACTTTGACAATGAGCATGTAATTCCTTTGCAATTAACAAAAAGGAAAACAGCAACTTGAGAGATTTTTATAGATTTCACACCAAGCTCCATCACTCACTTGCTAGGTTCCCTAGGGCAAACCTCTCTGGCTCTTTGTCTCCTCAGCTCTCAAAGGAAGGTCCCACAACCATCCTGCGCTGTAACTGTGATCGCATGCTGGGCTGGTGTCATCACAAGAGGCTTCATGGAAGAAGTGAGCCCTGGTGTTTAAGGAGATGACTTTGGTGTAGGAGATAGTTTCAAATCCAGACTCTGCTACTTCCTAGTCATGAGACTTTGGGAAATCATCTTCTCTGACCCCCAGTTTGCTCATTTATAAAATAGGGACTATAAATTACCCTCCTAGGATGATTATAGGACAGCTGGGGAATACCCCCCCCCAATGACCTTCCCTTTTCCTGATAATCTGAGTCAGTTCGAGCCTTTGTGTTCTTAAATGGGATCATTAAGCCACCTTGCCTGCCCCAGGGTACAGTTTAGGCTCAGGAGCAGGCAGCCCTAGGCTCAAATTCTGACTCACAAGTTTTGCTAGACACATGACCAAGTATAAATGACTTAACCTCTTTGAGACTTGATTCCCCATCTCTAAAACGAAGTAACAACGCCTATCCCACAAGGGCTGCTATGAGAATAAGAGCATATACAGAAAGGACTTGGGAAAGCACTTAGCACCCACAAACAGCGGTAACAATTATTCCTGCTGTTATTATTGCCGTAGTCATGGGGACAAGGCCTCCTGGGTGCCCCCGCACTGAGTGTCACCCACACCCCCCCCCCAGCCAAGAGCTTCTCTGTCGGGCTATACATCTAGGCCCACCCCCCCAACCCCAGCACACATTCCAGTATCTCCCCAGGGAAGCCCCGGTTCCTGGGAGCCCATGTTGACTTTAGGGTGACCTGGGAGCCCTGCTTCTCAGAGGTACTATCTTTTCCTACTCCAGGGCTCCCAAGAAAAAACTGTTTCTCATTCCCCACTCCTTGCAGGTTTCCCTCTGACATACTCTCTCCATGCCTCAAGAAGGCCAAATACCCAAAGGAATTAGGGGTGTGGAGGAGGCATCCATTCTCTGGACCACAAAGAGAATGAGAGGGAGAGTGGGGGCAGCTGGCCGGGAGCGCAGCGCAGACCTGGAGAGTCAAGGAGGGACTCCGGAGGCACCCGTGTGCTGAAGACCAGGTCTCTGGAAAACCGAGCACTCCCACAGATGGCTTGGACTGGGACACCTACGTCAGGCCTGCCCTCTCCCCAGCTCTCCAGATGAGTTCTCCCTGCCTTGCTGTGGGGCACGTCTTGCCAGACTCCAGAACGAGGGGTGAAGCCCATGCCTCCTCCAGAGTGGCAGAAAGACAGACAGCATCCCAGCTCCAGGATGTGCCTCTGCATGTGTCTTTGGGCACATGACTTCCCCTTTCTGGGCTCTGGCTTCCCCATCTATACCATGGAGCTAATGACACTCCACTTGGGAGGACTGACATGATTAAACGTCTATGAAGCATCCGGCACAACCCCACCCCCAAAACCTGGAAACTCAATGTTCCTAGCTGGAACCTCATACTGCAGGGGTGGCAAAACTGGGGTACGGCAGCCAGGGGGTGCAGAAAAACACACGGGGCCCTGTCCCAGATGTTTGATGCATCTGAGACCAAAGGAAATTTCTCACGGATCTTATCAACCAGTTCCCACCCTCCTACTTCCCGCAGGCTCAGGCTATGCCTTCCCCTTCTGCTGGTGGACCTCCCTGGCACTCCTGCCCTGGGGTGCGGAAAGAGGACAGCAATGAGAAGTGGCCACCCACTCGGAGGATAAGCTCATGGGCAGTGACATCATCCTGCCTGCCCTTCTTCCTCCTCCCCATGACCCCATGACTCAAGTCCACAGCCTCAGGCCCCATGTGGTCATAATCTTGGAGGCTGTTTGGATTTGGATTTTTCTTCACACTCAAACCCCACACATCCAACCAAGAACCAGCCAGCAGCAGGCCAGAGACTTGTTCTACAACACTTTCTAGGAGTGTCCTTAGGTGCTGTGGAATCCCAACTCACAGCTCTATGATCATCCTGACAATCTGACCCCAAGCTGTATCGCTTAGCTCACGGTCAAGGCCAAATCCTCCTCCAAAAAAATGAAGATTTATGGTTCCAGACAAGACACGAATACAGATTAAGGGTGGAGGAATTCCCCCAGGAAGTCTCAGAAGTCAACCTCACCAGAGTAAGGACAGAGCCTCCTCAGAAGGGACGACGCTTCTATACATGGCCTTCCCACAACTGTTCAAGCACCCAACCCGGCTGTCAGGCATCTGAGCATCTCAGTCAGCCGATCTGCTTCCATTGGGTGACTGGTCAGAGCTGCAGAGGGCCAGGGACAGTAAGGAAAAACAGGTCCACAAATCCCAGCACCCCTTCCCGCCCTCAGGCTTGCATTAACACGCCGGATGGTCTGATTTCTTGCAGCAGGGGAGTCTGGAGTAAATTGGAAAGCTCACTGAAGGCAAGCAGGAGAAACCACCAGTGATGTCATTGAAGAGAGGAAGGAACTCCAAACAGCAGTCAAGGGATCAATAAAAGCATGGCTGAAGCCACTTAGTGCAAAGCTCACTCCCACAAGAGTCCCCTCGCCCTACAGGCCCTTAGCGCAAAATCTGACATTCACAGCACTGACTCGAAGTCATGACAAAAAAAATTTCACTCATGTCAGGAGTATCCTGATGTCAGACTATGATGTACGTAATATGGGAGAGAAAGATTTCCATGCTCGATAGTTAAAATCAGTGTTAGTGCTAAAGCTCAGGAACTCTAGATATCAGGGAAATGTGCTCACCCCAAATATTCCCATTCCCAAATGAGCTGGAAATATGAGCCATCACTCACACCCTGCAGCCCCAGAGCCCTCCACCCCTCCCCACCACTCAGATGGGCCCAACCCGCCAGACAAGTTTCAGCTTCAATTTCAAGTTTAGACTTCAATTTCCCTCAGCCTCCATAAGCGTCCCACCAACGTGCAGGCCCCCAAACTGCAAGGAAGGCTGCACAGCATCAGATTTCCTAGGGATTTCTGGGAGGCCAGAGGGAATGAGAGGAGGCTGCACTAAATGAAGAACTCTCTTAAAGACAGAACAGCTTCATTACTTTCTAGTACAGAAGCCAACTGCTAAAGACATGCACGTAAAAAAAGGACCCCGGCCTTAATTTAATGATGAAACTGACTCATTTACAATTATCCACATCCAATTTGAAGGCAAATAGTTTTTCTCAGTTAGGTCAAACAAACACTTCCCCTATTCCCCCAATCGTTTCTACGTTACCCTTTGCCTAACGTTTTCCCCCAGTGATAGACCCATCCATATCTGAGTCATCTGTCACGCATTTCTCATTAGGGCAGGTCTGGCTTAGAAATAAACCCCTTTTTCTGACAGTTTGGGGCCTTAGGCCAGCAAACCTGCCAACTCCCTGACTAAACAGCATTCTGAGGGCCTCGGGGCACTGAGATTCAACTCCCTCCCCTCTAGGGTGTCTCCACCCTGGGTCCCCACCTTCAGGACACCGAGTTCCCCACCTCCTCTCCGTCCTACCTCCCCCACCATCTCTTGGAGACTTCCCCGAGCTCAAATTACCCCATCCTGCTCTCTCGTGTTCGCCTCCCACCCCCAACACCTATTCACCCCTTCACCCAGGTCAGCGGTCCCTACCTGTTCTTTTCAGAATCTGTCCCCCTCGCGCCCACTGCTGCCCGCGTAAGTCCTCTCTGCTCCGTCCTTTCAGGGCCAGGAAGAGTGGGTCCCCCTCCCCAACCGTCCCGGGCAGCTCTCTCTCCTCGGAGCGAGGACTCAGGGTGTTTTCCTCTGCAGGGCCCTCTGGAGGGCCCGGGAGACCCTGCTTCCCTGCTAACCCCGGCTGGCTTCGTGGAGCTTTCCAGAATCATCAACACAGTGACAGATCTGCCCCCATGCCCCTGCACGCCCCGGGCCCGGGTAATCACAAGCGCCCACCAGCCTCGTCCAGGACCTGCCGGGGGAGAGCAGGTCCCACTGTGCCCCAGCCCCCTCGGCGGTAAGCTTGGGGCGGGGTTGGATTGTGGCGGCCCCCGCTGCCTGGGGCCCGGACCCCGGCTGCGCCGCGGACCCGGGGAGGGTCCAGCGAGGGAGGGCACAGCACGCGGTCCGGCGGCCCCGCACCGCTCCGCCGCGGACAAAGGCCGCCCCCACCCGCGCGAACCCGCGCCACGCAAGCACTCACCGCGCCGCGGCCGGCTCTCGGGACGCGGGGACGCGGCGGAGCGCTTGTCGAATCGCCGCCGCCGCGAGGCCGGGCCCGAGTGGGGGTCGGGGGCGGCCCCGCGAGGCCGAGGGGCGGGGCGGGCTGGAGGAAGCCGCGGGCCCGGAAAGGCAGCCCGGGTGCGCCCCAGAGGCCGGATTGGCCCCGCGGCGGCGGTCCGGGGCAGAGGCCTGAGCCCGCCCGCTGGGCAGGGCATCGGCCCGGACCCCGCCCCTGACCCCAGACCAGGTCCTGGACTCCGGCCAGGGGGCGCTGGTCTGCCCGTGCCCCTCCCCCGCCGCGTTCCCCGACTCCGAAGATCCGACGTGTATTTTCTCCGAGAGGGGACAGGCGACTGCCCGCTGACCACCCCACCCTCCAGGCGGCTGGCCGCAGAGCCGGATCCCGTGGGCCGACCCCAGTCCTGTGTTCTCCCTCCGCCCCAGGCTGCTACCGCGGCCTGGAAAGGGTTAACTTCGACTGCGAGGAATTAGGAGCTGCAGGGAGCTCTCTATAAATACAGTGTCGTGGGCGCCTGAGCCAACCGCAGGGTAATTTCCACTGAGCTGGTTTTCCTCTTTTCCTCCCACCCACGGCCACCCGACCAGCCCTGCCCCCAGCCCCAGGCCAGGCCCCAACAGGGGGAGCAGCTCTGATCCCCGTGCCTGGGCTCTGTCCTTAGAGGCCCCAGCTCCAGCCTGGGAGGAGATGGGGGGTCAGAGGCTTGCCTTAGCACATCCTGTCCCTGCACCTGCTCTCTGGCCTGTTCTTCATCAGTTACGGACAGGAACAGCTAAAGTGTAGCAAGGCTTCTGGGGTCCAGGGTCTAGACTCTGAGCTTTCCCTGCTGGGCCTCTGTAGATCCTCACAACAGATAGATAATATGATCCGCGTTTTACAGGTGAGAAACCTGAGGCTGGATGAAAGGACTCTAACTTCGTGCTTTTGCCAGGCCCACCACCAAGTGGCAGCAGAGAAAGGGGAGGGGGCTCAGGAAATAGAATGAATGCATATGCTTCTCTGTAAGCTGTTGTGACCACTTGTAAGCTCTCATTTAATATTCACAACTCAGTGAGGGGAATGCCATTACTATCCTCATTCTGACAAATAAAAAAAATTGAGACACAAACAGATTAATAACTTACTAGAGGATAAAACTATTAAGTGGAGGAACAGGATTTGCCCCCTTGAATTTAAGTGCTGAATGCAAATTTAATTCTGCACCTGCGCGTGTGTGGGGGGGGGCGGGGGCAGTGGCTCATGGGTATGTGTGTTTGTGAGCAACTCTGTATTTGAATCGGTGTGCTTATGTGTTTCTGAATGTAAGTTTGAGAGCAGCTATGTCTATGTAACTGCTTCTAGGGATGGGGGAAGAGAGCAGGGGTTCAAGGCCAGGCCATCTGGCCCAGAGTCCTCAGAGGTCATGAGCCTCCCCACCAATCCGCACTGCTCCGCCTGCCCTATTAGGGCCTGTCCAGCCTGGGCCTGACCTCATAGATCTCAGGATGAGCAGCCCCCACCAGGCCCCACAACCTGGCGAGAAACATCCAAGGAAGAGGTGTCCTTAGGCTGAGAGAGCCAGGACCCCTGCAGCAGGACCCTGGAGGTGGCATAGAACTAATCTAGAAAAATGTACTGTCCTTCCCTCCACCAAGAGTCAATCCTGTGCCAGGTGCCCTGCAGTGGTGACACAGGTCCTGTCCCAGAGGGTTTGTAGTCCGGCCGCAGAGGTATGACTCAGCCGTGATGGACAATGAAGGAATAGCACAGCGCAACTTATATCGGTGTGGAGCAGGCGGGGGAGACTTTTATCGTAATTGCTTGAGAGAATCAGAACAGGAGGGAACGAAGAGAGTGTTGCCTCTCATGACTGGAAGCAGTGGCCTGAGAGGGTGCTGATCCCCCTGAAAGTGTAAACAGCTAGGGCAGGGAATAGACAGAGTGTCTGCCGGACAGGCTCAGCTGAGACTCAGACACCTGGCCTTGACACAAACAGCTGGAGTGACCAAACCCGTATACAGGAACCTCCGCAGTGCAGAGAGTGTTTTTCTAGGCCTAGTCAAAAATACATCATTTCCCAGGCTCCCTTGTAGCTAGAAGTGGCCACAGGACCCGCTGTGGCCAATGAAACTCATTGGTTGGGGCTTTGGGAAAAACCTGTTAAAGGAATAGGCTTATGCGAGGGGAGACAGCATGGTGGTTCCTCAAAAAAATTAAAAATAGAATCACTATGGGACCCAACAATCCCACTTCTGAGTATAAACCCAAGAGACTGAAAGCAAGGTCTCAAAGAGATATTTGTATACCCATGTCCATAGCAGCATTATTCACAATGACCAAAAAGTAGAAACAACCCAGGTGGCTATCCAGTAGATGAATGGATAAACAAAACGTAGTAATACGTATAATGGCACATTATTCAGCCTTAAAAAGGAAGGAAATTCTGACACATGCTACACTGTGGATGAACCTCGAGGGCCCTATGCTAAGTGAACTGAGCCAGTCCCCAAAAAGACAAGTACTGTATGATTCCACTTACAGAAGGTCCCCAAAGTAGTCAAATTCCTAGTGACAGAGAGGAGAAGTGTGGCTGCCAGGGCCTGGAGGAGAAGGGGATGGAGGGGCTGCTGTTCAGCGGGTACGGACTTGGTTTTGTGAGACGAAAAGAGCTCTGGAGACGGGTTGCACAACAGTCTGAATGTACGGAACGCTACTGAACTGTGCACTTAGCAATGATGAAGATGGTACATTTTATCGCGTGTATATTTTATCACAATTAAACATTTTCCAAAGTAATAAGAAGAAGCAGACCTCACTGGCATGTGCCTTTGCCTTTTGCCTTTTGCTCTTCTTTTTCTTTGTGCGTGAAGTGCAGACGTACAACCAGGTGTAAAGCAGCCATCCTGCAACTCTGGGGACAAAGGCTAAGGGTGGCAGAGGAGAAAGTCAGAAGCAGTCTGGTTCCTGAAGGCATTGTGGAGCTGCCACCCGGACCCTGGATTGCTGCCAGCCCTTGGCCTCGCCCCCAGAGTTGCCATTGCTCATTCAGGATTGATTAGGGATGAATAGTGACCCTCAACGGTCTTTCTCCCCAGGCTCGCTATAGGGAACATCAGACCATCATTCTGGCAAAGGGAGGGGGTGTTCTGACCCTCTTATTAGTTTCCCCGGAACAGAATTTCTGAGTTGCTGATAAAATTCAAAGACAGCTTCCTTTAACCTCCTTAACATACAAAAAGACAAGTATTTCCCTCATCTATTTGAATACCCTTAAATCAAGCAAACTGGATTCCCTTAACCTAGCTTTAATGGAGGGGGGGTAGGCTCCTTAGAGCAGCTAAGCAGCCCATCTTTCAGAAAGCAGCTCAGAGACGTTGGCAGGCCTCACCTAAGAACAATACCCAGAACTCTTCATTTCCATAAGAAAGAAAGATCAAGTCTTGGCCAAAGGCCCCGTTTGGGCATTTTTTTCCAGGTTCCTGTGACACCAATAACTTGGCCTTGGCCTCCCCTTACTCAGGCTGCACATTACCTCCCGACCGGTTTGCATTTTCAGGGCTCAAGTCCTTGATGTTTTGGCAAACGCCGCCACCCCACCCAGCCCCACCCACTCATTTAGGGTGCACAGGGCTGCCATCTGGAGCCAGCCAGCCAGCCCAGCTGTCTAAGGCAACCAAGTTTCTCCTAAATGACCGGATCCAGTGTAGGGTTGAATATAGAGCACAGTGACCAGTGCACCTTCCCGCTTTCTTATTCCCGGCACTTGAGTGTTGGAGTAGACTTCAGGTGTCTGGATCCAAATATTTCCAGCTGGAAGCATCTGGCCAGCAAAATAAAAGGAGCAGCCTGAAAAAAAAGAGCAGAACTGATCCTTCAAGAACACCTCCCCCCCCATCCAACACATACACTGCAAAAATAACAAAACGTCCTCTAACCAGGCTTGTATAACCAGCTGCCCCCATCTGACCCACTGTCCTCTCTTTTTCCCTGGCCACCCTCTCCAGTATCTGCCCTCCTCCCCTGTCCTGGGTGGTAGCTCTCAGCCCTCCCCCTGCTTTCCTCTTCCTTCTCTGGCCCACGCTTCCAGCGCTCCCGATACCAGGAATCCGTATTGGAGTCTGTCCTGCTGCTGGAGGGTCAAGGTGGTTGGTTCTCCAAACAGGAGGGCTGGGATGGAGTTAAGAAACAAAACAACAGAAGTAAAAGAGCACTATGGCGCCAGGAGACATTTTCCCTCATATTGGGAGTTGTTTTGTTTTGTTTTTTTCCTGATGACTTCTGGTCACGTGCAGATAACCCAGTTATCCGCGCTTGCACAACCCCAAGAGTGAGTGCCTCCTTCAGGGTGGCGTCACAGGGGCCTCATTTATGTGCCCCCGGCCCTGGTCCTGCTTCTAGGTTTGGCCCATGACAGGTTCAGAGAAGAGAGCACAGAACAGAACAAGTTAAGGGTTCCACCTAGAAGGATAAGACCCAGAGCCCCAAGCTTGGAGAACAAGGGGCCCCTCATGCAAAGCCAGCAGTGGAGACCTTCCTAGGGAAGACAGTGGATAAACCACTTGGAATCCAGGAATCCTAGTCTCAATCCAGGTGCTAAATTAAATTAAATACTAGTATTGCTTTTTCAGTTGCCGGGACTCATGATGGCCTTGTGGTTTTAGTTGGACTTGAGATACCATGCCTGGACATCTTCAGGACATCTGACCATAGTCTCCCAGCCCTGGTACCGACACAGGGGAAAGCTGAGCTGCCCCAATAGTGAAAATGGTTTATTCTGTCCTCCTGAGTGGGGCATTATTCACCTGCCGGTCCTTTTTTTTTTTGAGAGAGAGAGAGAGAGAGAGCGAGAGAGAAAGCATGCAAGGGGTGGGGGCAGGCGGGCAGAGGGAAAAGGAGAGTCTTTTTTTTAAAATTTTATTTATTTATTTATTTATTTATTTGAGAGAGAATGAGTGTATGAGTGGGGGGAGGGGCAGAGGGAGAAGCAGACTCCCCAATCAGTGGGGAGCCCGATGCGGGGCTCGATCCCAGGACTCTGGGACCA